GGTCCCTTCCAACCCAAACCGTTCTAGGATTCTATGATTAAAGTAATTCTTCTATTATGATGGAGGATTTCAATGAGTGGAAAAAAAAAAAAAGCCAGAGCCCATACAAAAAGCTCCTGATGTTCAAGCCCAGTTCCAGTTAACAAAAAGGCTCTTAGGAACATTCTGGAAAGACAGGGTAAGAGCAGAACCAGACCCCACCTCACTCCCACCCCCCTCCAAAGCCCTGAGCATGCTTCACTTACACTACCTCTCCCGAGGTCATTCTTCCCAGTCCCTTCTCTCCCACAAGATGACACCACTGGGAAGAGGAAGCAGGCTCAGGTGCCAAGTGGCCATTCTAAAGCTTCAGCACTGACCTCGGAATGACTGTGGGTCAGGTGAGCACCTGCAATACTTGGGCTGATTACCACAAGCAGAGAAAAAAGCATGGCAGGAAAGAAAGGGAGGATTGAATGAGGATCCCCCACCCCCACCCCTCCCAAGTCCAAAGGCTTTCTTTTTAATAAAGCTATCATCCTGCGTAAAGACTACTTTAAAAAATAAATTCCCATTGTAATTAAATACATTCAAGTTGTTTCTCATTATATTTGACTTGTGTACTTCTACACATAAGTAAACATATTCCATATATTTATATATACATACTTTGCTGCCACAAGCCCGTTAGCACCCTACTCAGTTTGTCAGAAAGGACAGTTCCACGTGTGGATTCTGTACAAAAAGCACCACTTTCCCTAATCAAGTGACTTTGCATTATTTTCTTGATCAATTCTTAATTCTACCTTATCCTCTTGCCCTTTTTAGGCCCACCTTTTCCTCCTGTTACCACTACAAATACATTTTAACATCCTACAGCCCGAAACTGTTTCCAATTGTTCATTATTTTCCTTTCCCTGAATTTGCAACCACTGATGATCATCTCTAGAATTTTACTGTCTTCCCGCTTTCAAGCCTCTGCTATCATGCAACCAATTTGTGAAGTTATGAATACCAAGTTAGAGCAGGTGAAAAACACCAAGTAAGGAACCTTAGTAACGCTTGTGAATGAGATACAGAGCAAAGCATTAACTATCACCCTGGATGATGACACAAGTGAATGCAACAACACCAACTGTTTTGTGAGTATTCGTTAGCAAGCAGCCAAGCACAAATGAAGCACTTAATAGTTTTTTCCTCCGTAAGCACCATTTCATTTAGAGCAAGATAGGTCTATTAATTGGCTTCTTGCTATAAAGAACATTTTGAAGCAATGAGCTTGTTAGAGTAAGGTGTCAAGATCTTAAGTTAATGCTACCACACTGGATATTAGAACACCAGGAAACTGGAAGTCAGTGCCAAAGGAAATACCTAATAATGGGAAGAGAACAGAATATTGTCAAATTCAGAAGCTGGAAACAGAACAAGTGAAAAAGAAATTCACACTGCTGAAGTAATATCAGTGAAGAGATTAGGAAAAAGATTAGAAGAACAGTATGAGCTACAGCTGTATTACAAAACCAGGGTCTGCAAGGCTATGTATTTTGCTGTCAGTGATCACCAGAACCGCTGTTGATGTTACGATCTCAACGCTAGGGTGTTAAAACCTGCAATTAAAAAACCTAAGTGAGCTAGCTGAGAGGAACATTAAGGAATTCATAAACATGAAATAGAAAAACACCATGACAAAGTCTTGTTCATAGTTGCTGAACAACAGAAGGCTAACAAAAGCATCCAATTCTAAAGCTCATTCTCAGACTGTGCACAGTTTCTACTTGTATTTATGTTTGTTTTGCTATTGTCTTGCACTACTTTCTTCATGGCCTCCCAAGAAGTCTCTTTTGTTCCTTCTTTCTCACCTACAGATAATCCAATTTACAAAACCAGAAGTTAACCTTTCTACAAACTACAGGTCATCAACTTGGATTTCGCCCCCACCTCCCCACATGCCTTTCTACATTTTTCTGACCAAACTGGGATCTCAATACATCTGACACCTCCACGTGGGTTTTCAGCCATCAGCTTATAGGTTCAGTGTTGACCAAACACAACTTGCCATCCTCAACCCTTTTCTCCATTCCTAGAAAATTATTTTTCTGCTGTCATACCCTTAACTGCAGTGTTACTTTTCATTCAGGCAGATGTGAGGGAACAGTTTAAAGCCTGAAAACGTTACCCGCACAGCATTTGCTAAATTCATCCTCTTCCCACTGCACAGAAGTGATGCTCCTGTCCACTTCATGCTTATCCCTGTGTTCTGACTACTGCTCTGTCTCCAGCCTTGGCACGCTGCATCTCAATTCAACACTTTCCTGTCAAAAAAATAACACTAAAGATAACTTTAGTGAGATGTTCCAAAGACATGACCATTTTTTTTGCTTATCCACTTTTATTTCTCCTTACTCCCTAGACAAACTGCTGTCCTTCACCTTCAGTGCCTTCTTTATTTCTGTCTTCATGTTAAATCAAAATATTGACTTCCATTTCACATAACACATGGAGAGGTTTTTTTGAAATTCCTTTGTAATGTCACTCAAAATGCCTGATGTACATAGAAAAGCATAGTTTTTATTCAAAATTCCTCTTGAAGTTGGTTGTGAACAAATGATTTGACAAGCAGTTTGCTGTGATGATTACTTTACAATTCTGACCAGAAACGTGCCATTCCTTCTCTGCTGCTAGGTTCATATCATGCCTACACTTTTAACATGGCCTCAAGTGAGACTTCACCTACCTACATATTACTGCAGTACAAATATATAATGGAAACTTAAATCCAGTACACACAGAAATGATTCTAAATCAGTGACCACAACAAAGCTGAATTACATATATTTACACACATGCATACATACAATGACCACATCATACCAAAATGAAATTATTTACAGCAACAACCTTTAGACACACCGTTACTACATACAATGAAATTCACATAAAATGAGAAAGGCATTCGTAGGTGTGCTTTAATTACTACCCTAGCTGTTTCTTCAGCAGCACTATTGCAGCATTTTCCAGTACACGACACTTGGTTACAAAGCATCCCTCAAGCACGGCTGGAATGCTAGGTAGTGTCTACGTGCAGGGCAAGTGTCTCCAGGACAGTAACAGGAGAGCTAGAGATAGAGAAACAATGGATGCTAAAATGCCACCAGTTATGTACTTCACAAGGATACACAATCAGAACTTTCTTCTCTCTCAAAAAATACACACATTTAATGTTGGTCTTTTAATTCTAAGAAAAAAGCAATTCCAAAAATACAAACTGAACATCAGAGTCAAGTCAACCACCATAATAAAATGAAACAAATGACATTTACAAGAGTTAAGTCTATGGACAGCTTAAGTTCGACAAATATTTTCTCCCCCACCATTAGAGTCCCCAAGTACATTCCAATATTTATCTTTAAATGAAACTTTACGAAAAATACTGCTGGTGTTCAGTTAGATTTAAAGGATTTGGATGAAGTGAAACAACGAAGACCGATAGAGGTGGTGTGAGTAAGGTTACAAAGGCTTTACATTTTGCAATATCCCAAAATATAAACATTCAAAAATTAACATGAAGTTGCTGTGGTATCAAAATATCACAGCTATAGGCAAGGCAACATTAAATTAATAGCTGAGGATGTGAGAAAACACCCATACATTATAGTGAAGGTAAACAGAAGTGGCAGTTTTTAATTAGCATTTTTATAAAGCTAATATTACCAGGCCAGCCCTAAACCCAGCACGGTATAAAAAGCTTTCTCTGCTTCCTTTGGCTACAAGGTGACAGAAAGAAAAAAACCAAACCACACCACTAATAATCACCTTTTCAAGATGTTCAAGATGAGCAGAAAAAGTCAAATAATGGAATAAATAAGTACTAAATCAAGCAGTACACTTTAAAACCACACTGTCATTTGTTAATGTTACATAATTTTATTTTGGTGGTAAACTAAGTGGGTAAGATAACTAACCTTACACAGCACACTGAATAACCACCAAAGTAAAAATATTCTTCTGTTTACTCTTTGGCTAAAACCCCCTCAAAAATAGCAGACAAAAAAACCATCTAATACTGGCAAGAGATTTTTTTTAATTTTTTTTTTAAGTAAAATCAACTTATCAATTTAAAACTTGGTACATTTTATAAAAACAAAAGAGGTAATGCAATAAAAATCAGTAATGTTACTTCAAATGGCAACAAAGTGTTTGTTGACCCTGTGCAATAAAACACTTTGTTCACACTACACTTATCAAAATATGACTTAGGAATCTTGTGTATGACTCCTGTCAACTCAGTTTATAACTGGGACACAGTTTACAATCAGTGTGCCACAGTAACTTTCAAACTGTTATCTCTAGTAGAGTTAATTTCAAAGTGTTCAGATCCTGCATTATTTTTACTAGTTAACTGACATGGAAAATAATGAAACATATTACCTAGAGCATATGAGCCTCACTGACTGCACCCACTGCCAGAACACGCTGCACTGGTTTGACACTTTTCCTTAATACATAGAAAGCAACAGCACCCAATAAGCCTGAGAAGAAATGCTGCTGTGTAAATACTGGCAACTATTCCTGAAAAAAGAATTATGGGATCTATTGTCAGAAGCTGCCCAATCCCATAACTTGTATTGCATAGGTCACAATCACACATATATATACACACACACAAGTATGTGTGTACATATATATGCAGATATATACACACACATGCACACACACACAAGAAGAATATATTAAGACAACAATGAAGTCTGGTCACAGAGCAATTTACAGGCTCAATATATTTTTTCTTTTTTTTTAACACTTTGAAAGAAAACTTCAGTATTTTACAGTCTTCAGTAGGCATTATATACACTGCACTTATGAAATCTAGAAAGTATTGAAATAGAAATACATTTCTGAAAACATTTGGGTAAGAAAACAAACCAAAATTTTTCAAAGATTTGTGCTATCTACATAGTATTTTCTCTAAATCACAATAACTGTATCCATGGAATGTTCACTAGAAAATGTCTCTTCTTTAAAAAGATCATGCACATTTTTAAGTAACTGTAACCCAAAATATCCCAACCTAGAACAACCTAACAATGTTCAGATTAAAAAATTTAAGTTTCAGATCAGATTTTAAAAAGGTAAGTCTTTATCACAAGAGCTGTAATGGTAACAATTACATGTTAAGGCTAAACTGGTTTTGTTTTTAGAAACACATTGAAAAACACGTTTCTCTCGTGGCTCTGCATTATGAACTGTACTCACAGATGACAGTGCAGTGAACATAATGTTCAGTCCTACAGTCAGGATGCAGTTGCTCCTTCCCACTCAACAAGATACTGCACTTTTCCATCAAGTGTCACCCGACGAGCCAAAACACGGTATTTTTCCCCACAAGCTATTCTACCTGCTGCACCAAAATAACTAGTAATAGAGTTCTTTAGATGATTGAGCTGTAACTCCTGATCTGCCAAGTTGTTGAGTATCTCTGTATTGAGTTCATCATATTGGTAATCTTCCTTGCTCTCATCATCTTTTACAATTTCTGAATTTTGAGTCTGGAGTGCTTTTCGTGGAAAGCGACCTCTTCTTCTCAAATGTGGTATTGCAGCAGGCCAAGTTCTTCCTGTACGAGTCCTTTTTCTCGAGTCAGATAAACTACTAAAAAAACCAGAGACAAAACAGCACTAACTAAGGAACTTATTCTAAGTGCATGGAAAAAAAACTGATGAAGCATGCAACTCAACTTCAGTTGTATTTTTATCAGTGAAAAATAATGGTTGCCTATAGATGACTATAAATATGGCACTTATAAAAACTGTACTAATTTAACAAAGTCTCGTAAACTTTAGGTAGATGACATTAACTTATGTCTAGATATGTTAAGACTACTCTTTTGATACAGCTTAGTCCCATTCTTTAGCAAATTAAAACCACTGTCAGAAACATCTGCACCAGATGTGTTTAAAATTGCAAGTTAAAAATACTGCTTTATCACACAGGTAGGCCTCAATTACAAAAGCTATACTATAAAAGTGTTTCAGACTTGATCTTAGTCAGAACTATAGATCCTAAAAAAAAAATCAATTCATGCATAGTTGGTTTTTTCAGGATTAATTTATCTTAATAAAACTCTGAAATACGAAAGGAGATACTGCACCATCTGTTCTACATCACTACTTTCTATAGTACACATGACATGCTAAAATCTACTACATGTGGCTGAAGAAATCTGTATATCCAAAGCTCAAACAGATCTGTATCTGATCATGAAAAAGTTTGACATTATCCAAGAATAAACCATCATCCAAATATTAGAAGTGTCCAAGATAAACCTTATGTAAAAACCTGCATCTGTAATTTGCACATACTGAAATACATTTGACAAAGTCCTAAATTAAATGGTACGTGGACTTTGTTCACGGCTACGTACCATACAGTCTCTCAGGTCCTCAGGTAACAATTTCAGAAGCCTAAGTTAGACATGAGTTTTTGAAGGCAGACTCTTCATAGCAGTAATGCACACAAAAATGACTCACGAAAGCACTTGATACCATGAACCAGAAAGGAGAGACAAAAAGGTAGATTGAGGATATATGTACCTCAAAATAAGAGAAATTTATGTCTGCTGA